GTGCGTGCGTGCGTGCGTAAGTGTAATGTATAAAAGTATTTACTTTATAACTTAAGTAGTAACCTTCATTAGAGCCTCAGTCTCTTCATAATTTAACTTATGTAGCCATTGAACTACAGATCTTTTACAGTCATGTAAGTTCATGTGATAGATGTTTAAGATTTTATCTATACGGTTATATAAATGAGTTGATTGCTTTTTAAGTTGACGACTGGCAAATGTTGTTTTTGTACAGTTAATGTACAGTTTTCTGACAGAAAGAAGCTTACTAACCGAGTATAGTTGGGAACCTATAGGATTTAAAGAGCATTACTTTCAATAAAAACCGCTGAGCCCATTCAATTTCTATGCATTTTGTCTTTGCTGCCCCGCCCCACACAGAAATAGAGTAAGTGGTCACAGACTGAGCCAGAGCGAGATAGATTTTAATTATTAACTCTTTTGTTGCTATATGTCTAAGAATTACATCCATGTTATTTTCCGGATTCTATTAGCTACTTGCTCAATCTTAATGTGAGTTAGTTGGTTGAATCGCTAACGTGAATATTGTTATACACAATTAACAAAGATTCATAGAACGGCCAAAACTAGAAGCGACATGCAAGTAGTTTAATTAGGACGAAACGTTTGGTACTTTAAATTACTATTTTATTACGTTTATTATTTATAACGATAATACGTATATATTTTTTTGTTTTGTTATTATTTTATTCAGGAAGTTTTTAATAAGTGTGTTTTAAGCAATCGCTTGAACGTAGTTATTGTTTTTGATTCTCTTATGTATTTTGGTAATTTGTTGTAAATAGTGACATCTTCATTTAACAAACATTTTTTTCCGTAATTTGGACGTGCAGGGCATTGACTTACAATTATATGGACGTCGGGTTCGCGCTAAAAAGTGTCCGAACTTATAGGGCGTTAAAATCGTATACAGAGCGTCATTCACGCTTTAGTCTTCGTTTGTTCGACTGACTGCGAAGCAAGCAACATTAGACAATACTGCGATGACATTACAATTTAAATTCAACGTTTTAGCTTTTTCATATTCCTTTACATGTCACTACGTTTAAATAGGTTGACTTGGGACATTTTTTTCGTGGTTTTTGTATTAGACCCGTCGCCCATTTATTTGTAAGTCAATGGTGCAGGGCGTATTTTAAGTTCTTTGTGAAGTCTTGGGCTCAACTTTGATATTTGCTTAGTTATGCCAATAGTTATTGCAGTATGTATAGTTTTATTTAATATTTTACGAATTAATATGCAAATTTGATCATTGCTTTCTAGTGGGAGGAGTCTCCTTTTAAGCATATAATGCCTGTGCCAGGAAACAGTATTACATAAGTTAAGAAGAACTAAATTACTGATTTTTAATACAATTTGCAATTCAAACATTTTTAAACATTTTAATACTAAATTATAATTAATATTACTAAATTGTACATAAATATTAATTACACACTGTATTTATAATTTTATATATTCATTTTTTATATTTTATTATTTATTAAGTTTATTTAATTAGTTTTATTTACATTCTGTATGGCTCTATATATTAAGCAGATTTCTAAGACTGATCTTTTGTATGTTTGTGCATAAATGAATGGGTGTGTGTATGATTTGGCGTGTTTGCATACGCGTTTGTATTAGTGTGTGTTTGCGTATGTGTGTGTTGGTGTGCATGCTTGGATGTGTTTATTGTATTTAAATCTAATCATCTAATATTCAATAACTTGGTATCGTCGTATATTTTATTTGTTGATGTTAATTAATCGTCATTCAATTATGCTGACATTACTGCTTGGCGGCAGACATAGTTAAGGTGGCAGTACTTCCCAAGACGGACTCTCTCACAAGGAGCTCTAGTGCTTTTCAAAACCTGTGATGCCACCAATCTGACGCCCTAACCTGTTGATGTTTACACAACACAAATGGAACAAGTTAGCGTATTTCAGACAATGAGAAAACCTTTTTTTATACAATCATTGTAATGCAAAAATAGGCTTAAACACAATACATACATTGAACAGTCCGGACGTGTCTCCTTTGTTGACCTATCGATGACTAACTAATTTTTTGTCGTTGATTTTCAAGGTGATTTTTGCATTGTATGGTCATGTTTTGGAACATATGTTTAATATTTGTTTTAAATTAGACAAAACGTAGACAATGAAGCAGAGATCGTGAACTTTAACCGAAAGACGAAAAAAGCTTTCAAGGAAAACGTGAGAGTTGATGACAAATGACATCGTAATGTCGATATTTGGGGAAAGGAACGCGTGAAAACCAAACTACGAAGATTACAATACGGGGTAATTCCGGCGTTATTATAGCACATTATGTATTACGGACGACGGTAAGTAAGAAATTACTAACGAGCATTGACTTACAATTATATGGACGTCGGGTCCGCGCTAAAAAGTGTCCGAACTTATAGGGCGTTAAAATCGTATACAGAGCATCATTCACGCTTTAGTCTTCGTTTGTTCGACTGACAGCGAAGCAAGCAAAATTAGACAGTACTGCGATGACATTACATTTTAAATTCAACGGTTTAGCTTTTTCATATTCCTTTACATGTCACTACGTTTAAATAGGTTGACTTGGGACATTTTTTTTCGTGGTTTTTGTATTAGACCCGTCGTCCATTTATTAGTAAGTCAATGCTAACGATGGTCTATTAGAAGCCCGGCTTTTTTGGGCTTTAATAACTCTATTTTTAGTTTTTTTTTACCGTCCGTGATACATGCAATGCAATATTTTTCCATCACATTTACCACGAAATAAGTACAATGTTTATTTATTGTGTGAATAAGTGAATAGATGATTCACAACACAACAATCATGAATTTTGCAAATGGCGGTCTTTTTTTTTTATCAACAGATGGCCAGATAATACAACCATGATATAATAATAATAATAATAATAATAACAACGTTTATTCCTCCACAAAAATACGTACATATAGATCTTAGTAATTAAGATACATCCAATAACTTATTTTTGGGAGCTGGTGCTTGTTAAAGGCTTAACGCCTGTACTACAAGTCACCAGGCTCTCACCCATGGAAATGACAATCTTAAGGTACTACTAAGATTAATTATTTATAAAAGAAAAACATTTAAATAGCGAAAAAATACATTTGACATTATCGAACTATATACACCTAAAAGATCAAACTTAAATTAAAATTAAATTTGAAAACTTTTTTGCACGTAAAAGATATTTGACCATGAGTACGTGTTGTATTATGTGTGTGTTTGTGTATGTGTGTGTGTGTGTGTGTGTGTGTGTGTGTGTGTGTGTGTGTGTGTGTGTGTGTGTGTGTGTGTGTGTGTGTGTGTGTATGTGTATGTGTGTGTGCTCGCGTGTGCGTAGTTACGGATATATATATATACATATACATCTAGAGATCCTACTCTACCCAAAGCTCCAAAAATAAATAAATAGGTCCGTGAGTCATGCAATCGGATGAAGCAAAGCTTCAGTTTCATCGTAATTCAACTCTTGCAGCCAGTTTGCCAATTTCTTTTTGCATTCGAACTTATTTAGTTGAAAGATGTTTAGTTCACGGTGGATGGATTGTAAAAAAGAATTGCTAAATTTCTAAATAGGAAATAATTGAAATTAATTATAAGAAATTGTAAATAATAAGTATTTTAATAGTATGTGGCTGAATTTCAATTAAAATTTCTGTTTAGATAACATTTTAATTTTGAACTTAAGTAACCTTCTTGCTTGAACTTCAACCTGACTTACGTAAGGGAGTCACAAGGTCACAAACCACATAAAAACACCTACACATATTACACAAATTGCGTCAACATGTCCAGATTTTATATTTACTAATTTTAAAATGACGGGCCAGGATTTAGGTTTTTCCGATCACTTCGTAATTACTATGCAATTAAATTACCGGAACCAAATAAAGACGTAACTTGGTGCACTGAAAAAATAATTTACAATAAAATAAATATCGCGTGTTTTAAGCTAAATTAACCATAATGAATTGGAATAACGTAATAAGAAAACACAAAAATGTTAATGAAAACTATAAAGCTTTTAATGATACCCTAATTAATTGCCTTGAAGAATGTATTCCTAAACGTAATATTAAATTAAAAAATAACTATAAAAATATTGGTTAACGGCTGGTATAAAAATTTCATGCAAAAGTAAAAGATTGTTAAAAATTCTGACTCAAAAGTGTAACAATCAAATAATGACAGAATATTACAAGAAATATGAAAAATTGTTAAAAAAGTTAGTAAATACCGCGAAAAAAATTAATTTCATTAGAAAAGTAAATAAATCCAACAATAAGGTAAAAGCAATGTGGAGTATTATAAACGAGCGAATTAATAAAAAACAAATTAAACAGAAAATTAACATAACACTAAAATCAAACTGTATTAAAATTAGTGATTAAAAACAAATAGTTAACACATTTAATCATTGTTTTGCATCTGTAGGAAAAAGCAAGAAAAATGAAAATAGACCTCACGCCCGCCCCGTAATGTGTTATACTGAATATACAATGTTTTTAACTACCGTGAAATCCAGAAAATTATAAAAAACGTAAAAAATAAGAGAGTTATGGAATAGACGAACTATCACCCACCTTAATCAGAGAATGTGCAGACGAATTAACTACACCATTTTGCATGTTAATCAATCAATCCCTTAATGAAGGCGTTTTCGATAATTTACGAGCAAGTGTGATGAAAAATAGAATGTTTATCATGCAAGAATTTGCGGTTAGGGCAATTTACGATCTATGATGCCAGAGCATCTTTGAGAGATAAGTTTAAACAAATTAACATTCTTACACAAGCGCTACAGTACATTTTTTTAATATTATTTATTTATATTTTACAAATGATCCATAAATATATATCTTATAGACTAACGTACATAATAATATAATAAAACACTAACACTACTTACTTATTTACACGTATGGACCGCGACGTATGACGCAACGTGGGTGTCCGGTAACCGTCCTCGGAAACGCCGGAACATGACACCTTTCAGCCAAAAGTCCTCCTTCATAAAGGTTGACTGATGTTGTGTTCGTACTCTTACCACAAATGAATTAAAATTCGCATTGTGGCGGGACCACAAATTAAATAATGCCTTAACCCTGCTGGAAAATCATCAATCATCGTAATTAATTACCTGAAGTTCTCGTACCAATGGAAGTAAGGAAATAACATTATGTTGTAAAATATTTCTTTGTAATAATACAGCGTTAGACAATGCAGATATAGTACGTTCACAAGAGGGTAGAAATTTGTTTTTATCGAACAGTTTCAGATCATCATTGGATTCCAATTCAACAAAACCCGGTTTAGATAAATATCAATGAAATTTAAGTTGACCCAATCAGGGGACCCAAAAAGCTGTAAAGAATTAATTAACTCAAATCGTTCATGGTCAGTTTTGCCTATACCTGTGTCCTTTAGTGTAGTTTGCAGAGATTGGAAGGAAAAATCGTCGTCATTTCTCTCAACTGGTATACAAGATTGTGGCACAGTGGCTAATTGAGGTGCAGTGTCGGATACTTGCGAGGTACTAGGTTGCGGATACCACACGTGTCTGTTGTTCCGACACCCCCACATTTTGTTGTATAAACTTATTCATAAAACCGTTAGGTCACTAACCTGTTTGCATAACTGACCAAAAACCGAAATATCCGAATTGTAGTACTCACTGTGGCGCCAGTTAGCGCGATCTAAAGAGCTGTCGTAACTTGGAGATCTCGATTTAGAATATGAGCGAGGTCGAGATTTGCGCCTTCGTCTTTCTCGGTCTCTGCCTCGTCGTCGGCACTCGCCAGTGCCGCCAGTTGTATCGGAATCCATGTCGGTACGCAATCCGACAGGATTTCCCCTTAATCGTATATTCACAACGAAATACAACAACGCAATCATTGACTTACAATTATATGGACGTCGGGTCCGCGCTAAAAAGTGTCCGCACTTGTAAGGCGCTAAAATCTTATACAGAGCGCCAAACTCCGCTTTAGTCTTCATTTGTTCTACTGACAGGGCGATACTGCGATGACATTACAATTTAAATTTGGAATAGGTTGACTTGGGACATTTTTTTCGTGGTTTTTGTATTAGACCCGTCGTCCATTTATTTGTAAGTCAATGAACGCAATGAGGAAAACCGCGTGTCGAGTTTGAACAACGGCCATCGCGCCCCCACACTGGTGGAGGCGTGAGCGGCGTGGTGGAAAGGATCCAGCGACCAATCGGAGGGCAGACGAAGGAGAAATTCAGTGTTGCCAGTTGTCAAATCGTGTTTTCTACCTAAAATTCAGCAATAGCTCTGTCTCACCAAACCCGGACAAGGCAAGGAATGCACAATGGTAATTAAGTTAACACTTCGATAGCATGTTCTATTTTGATCCCAACGCCATCTAGCGGCAAGGCGAGGTTACTAATATTTCTTTACGTGATGTTACAATATCGTTTATTTAAATAAGTGCACACTTATAATAGATCAATTATTTCTTTGAAGATCAAATAATATTATCTCTCTTCGTCAAAAATATTTTCGGTAAGCGGGTCTTCGATAATCTACCATATTTGCGTCTGATAATGAAAATGTTATTTTTCCAGACCGCCTATCGTCTTCAGGCTTTAAGCGCGATAGCAAGCGCTCTATCACCTCAAGCCACGACAGCAGCAAAACCGAAGAAGCAAGACGCCATCATGCAAACTGATCCAGTACAACACGAAGAGGACGACTCCCAACCTAATAACAGCTACAGTGAGACGTCAGAGAATTCATACCATGAACACATGGATTTCTACAAAGGTGTGTATATATACACTTTTTTCACTTCTCATGCTCCCCTCATGCTCAAAAGTACGTTTATATAGACTTAGGGCTCGAGCCTATTTCGCGATTGCAATCGCACCGACTCGCTGCTAGAGGTGGGTGATAAATAACGTCACGATGATTCGCCGTCAAACAGTATAACCGTGAGCCGAAGAAACGACGTTCCAAAGTCACATAGGTGTTCCTCCGTTCCAATAGCTATCCCCGTCACTCACATCACGACATATGTATTTGATACAATGCGCGATCTCCGTTCCGTGGTGAATGAGCGCGCCACTCGTTGTAGTTCTCTTCAAATCGGGCCATTTCGACGATGGGAGTGAATGAAATAGGATGACTTTCTTTGCTCACTCACAAGGGTCGTAGATGCTTATTAGTACTAGAAAAGGCGGATGAAAAAAATCTGCAGCAGTTATTATAAACCTATTTATGAACAAAGTAAAATATTTTTGTCTATTTGTTTTATTATAGGAAGAGTTGGTATTTTATATTTATATATAATCTACTTTGCGTATTCTACTAGAAATATAATTACATTACACTTTATTGCTATTTTTAACAATCCAAAGATTCGCATTAAATAAGTAACAAACAAAACTACATTAAATACAAAATCAACTTTTTGAATGGAATTGAAACTTATTAAAAAGGTAGCAAAAACTTAAATCATTGTATAAAAAACGGCTATAAGTATTAGAAAGAAGCCGCTGGCTAAAACCGTATATCGTGATGTAAGTTATAGGCGTGACAAGGTTACGAAAGTAACAGTCGTGACAAAATCACGATGATTTATCACTGTGATTTTTTTGGAACCGGAACGACAGTCACGGCGATAGAAATATAACGCTATTCCCATGTCTACTCGCTGCGACTTGTTTAAACAGAGCTGAATGGCTTAGTGCAGCGTGCCCGTGACCGGCGACTGTCGTCGATCGCAGCGATCAGTTGTCGTAAGTCGCTTGCGACTACTGCTAGATGATTAATTAATGTTCCTATTATTATTGGGTTATTACATAAGGAATTAAAATTATAATAATGGCCCAGATAGGTTATTTGATCGTAATCGCCGCAGAATATTAATTGAATGAATATAAAATTTCCTTATTCTTTCTATGGGACGAACCCGTAAAACAGAATTATGCAACAAAAAAAGTTACTATCAGAACTTTTTTCCTATCCACTTTCCCTGTAGCTGCGATAATTATTCTTATTCATATTCAATTATTTTTTATGTGAAATTACTTCATTAACTAATGAAGTTATAATTATTATTACAAAGATCGAACACTCAGACAAAATTCCTTCGATCCGGCCGGATTCGAACCGACGTCTTCTAGCATACCGTGCCAGACGTTATACCAACTAAGCCACGGAACGAATCAGCGGACCTCACGAATTTGTCTATGTTTGTTGACGCGTTTTTGTATTTGGTTTTTCAACGACTTTTAGCCGTAACGCCATCTATGAGAAATCTTAAGTATTTCGTCACCCAGTTAGATACCTGTACAGCTACCAGCCCTGGCCAGAGACGTCGCTATTCATTGTATTTAAATTTTTATTGATTTGATATTCAATTATTTTTTATGTGAAATTACTCCACTAGTTTGTTATAATTATTAATACAAAGATTGAACACTTAGAAAAAATCCCTCGATCCGGGCGGATTCAAATGCAGTGAATAGCGACATCTCTAACCGGGGCTGTAAAGATATCTAACTGGGCGACGAAATACTTTCATAGATTTATCATAGATGGCGCTACGGCTAAAAAGTCGTTGATAAACCAAATACAAGGACTCAACAACCAACACAGAAAAATTCGTGAGGTCCGCTGGTTCGTTCCGTGGCTTGGTTGGTAGCGTCTGACACGGTATGCACGGAAGACGTCGTCGTTTCAAATCCGGCCGGATCCAGGGATTTTTTTCTAAGTATTAGTTCGATCTTTGTTTTAATAATTCTAGGGTCAGCGGACTAAAGCACATAACTCAAAAAAGTACTTCATTTGTTAATATATATTTTATGTGTTGTTTTTAGTATTGGTAGTTAAATAACCTTTAGAATAATGTTAGAAATTTATGAAGTAACAAATGAATTTTATTTATGTGCTTTAGCCGGTAGATGTATTTAAACACAGAACTATTATCCAAATGCTGTGAGAAATCTCACTTTTATGAAGAATATTCACTCAGCCATGCACCTTTGCAGCTACCAGAAGCTAACTAGTGATGTCGCTTTAATATAATTGTTATTAAGTTTTATTGAATATTAGGACGTTTTACCACCATCAAATTATATTATTTTTTTGGGAAATTACTCCACTACTTTATTATGAACCTGCCCCCGTAGCATGCCGCTTCGATAAAGCTACTATATCCACAATTAGCTGTCAAATTCGATTGATAAACCGACATTTTCAACTACAAACGTGATGAAAAGACATTTTTGGTTTCATGGTTTTCGCGGCGATGATTAAATGTCGAAGACAGCTATATGCGCAATTTCATATCGTCCTAGTTCTTCAAAATCTGTAACAATAGTTCATTACCAAACAACAAACTTGGTTTATCAACTGAATTAATATTGTCATGAGGAGTTTGTCACACATATTCTGCCATGTTACGGCCACTGGTTTGATATACATCTGAACTATCTAGTGGAGTATTTTCATAAAAGATATATTATGGTAGTAAAGCATTATTGTTATTCAATAAATAAATATCTAAACCCTCTTTTTTAGAAGAGAGCTGTGCCCATCTGTGGGATGTTTATTGTGTTAACGATGATGATTCATGATTTAGAAGTTGTCAGTACCAAAATAAATTTCCAAACATTAGGCAAACAAACGTATTACATACAGAGAACTAAGCTAGATTAAAAAAAAAAATTTAATCACTATATCAGTGCTGTGGGCACGCATACATTAATACATCGGACAGTGATTCAAAAGGCGGCGATAGTAAATTGAATACCTTGACCATTTTGTTGTTTTTTGGTGTGGATTTGTTTAATTAAATTATATTTTTTATTCTGTTCTAGATAATCAACAAGATAAAGGTTTCATGACTCAAAATGCCAAAGAATTTAACAAGGATTTTTATAAGGAAAAGGATTGGAGGGACAATTTGGATTATCAGAAAGAAAGGAACCAAACGTTCGATAAAAACCTGGAGAGAAACCAAATATTTGATAAAAATTTGGAAAGAAACCAAATGTTCGACAAAGACCAAATTGATTATCAAAAAGACAGAAACCAAATGTTCGACAAAGACCCATTGGCTTTTCAAAAAGACAGGAATCAATACGATAAAAATCATGTTGATTACCAAAAAGACCGTAACCAAATTGAATATCGTGATAAAAACCAAATGTTTGAAAAAAACCAAATGTTTGAAAAAAACCAAATGGACAGAAACATGTTTGATAAAAACCAAATGGATTATCAAAAGGACAGAAACCCGTTCGAGAAAACACAGTTAGACTTTCAAAAGAGAGAGTTTGAAAAATCTGACAAACATTTCGAGAACGAAAAAATGTATGAAGCTAAAGATTTTTCCAAACAAGACGACTACATACCTACAACTAACGAGGAATACAACAAGGAAGCAGAAAAATATGCCTTAGAAAGAAAAAACCTATCTAGCTACGAAAAATCGGTGCTCGACTACAAGCCAATTGAAAATAACTATCAAAAGGTCGACTATATGTTTGAAAAAAATTATCAAAGGGACGATTACCAATTATACCAAAACAATTATCAGGATAGTGTTGCAATTTTAAGAAATCAACAACATAATTTGGAAATTTTGCAGCAACAACATAGGGCCGCTGAAAATCAAAACTTTTTTAATGAAAATCACATTAAACAAGAGATTGATTTAAATGGCGACGATGATAAATTCTTGTATGAGAGGAACAAGGAACATTTAGGTAAGTGTTTTTATTTACACTCCACGACGAAATGGGATGAAAAACTCGTAATTTTCTATTTATTGAAGCTTCTTATTCTTAAGTGACGTGATCTGACAAGTCAAAAATGTGAATGCACAATTGTGACAAGATTCTCATGTATGTATGCGCGTCTCCCACGCCGTACCGGCCCTATCAATGCGCCGCCGACGCCAGCTGGCCAATCAGAGTCCCTGAATTATTTACGTAATTCTATTCTATTAATTAATAGATCCAGGCGTTACTTTGCGGAAGTCCATGTTAGTAAAAATGGAAGTAAAGTTATTGCAAAATAGCTGCGCTTGTGTTGAATATTTTTTCACGCAGTTCATTATCACACCATCCCTCCGAATAAAATTAATAACACAAGTGCAACTACAGTCACAAACCACCACCAAAAATGTACCCGACACTGTTACGCCTCTCCACGAGGCATCCTCAGGGGCTGTTGACAGCTCGACACTCGGCCGAAGAGTGAGGTCGTTTGGAACGGTTTGTGTATTTATACCCCGCTACCCCCCCAGTGTTGCTATTGTTGAAACCCGGAAATATCCGCAATAAAGGTGATGATGCAAAATTCAATTGTTCATTTATTATACAACCCCTGTTGTTGTGCCTGATTATTTCCATCCGTTCTAAAACACCCAGACGTAGTCCTTTTTCGCGAAAATGTAACATTTCATAAGAATGGAAATCTGGTCAAATATGATTTGTTTCTAATATATATTTAGCGAAATTAATTCGAAATTAACTAGCGGAGTAACAAATTAAGTTACTTCCATTTTTACTAATATTGTTCAGACCGTCTCTGCGCCCGGCACCCTGAATTAGTTCCATGTGACTGTAGTGCCAGAACTTCGGTGGCAGTATTTCTATGGACGGACTCTTTCATAATAGAGCTCTGTTATAATAATAATAAATTAATAATAATTATTACGCACACACTCAACATAGCCCCGCACTAGGGAAACCCTGTGTCGCGGGTGCCATGGACACACACATAGACAACCACAAATTACACCCAAACTCACGAGAGAAATAAATGTAGGCCATACAAACATTTCCCCCAGCCCGGGAATCGAACCTGGGACCTTTGCGTGGCAGTCCGGCATGGTAACCGTTCGGCCACGGAGACAGTTATTGTACAAATATAATATATCATACATTAGCTCACGCCCTAATCTCACAGGAGGGGTAGGCAGAGATCACGGAACGCCACTTTACTCTATCGTGACACAACTCTCGAGCTTCACATACATCAGCTACCCTTTTTATAAAACTTTTTTTATTAAACTGCCTCCGTGGCCGAACGGTTATCCTGCTGGACTGCCACGCAAGAGGTCTCGGGTTCGATTCCCTAGCCGGGAGAAATGGCCTACATTTATTTCTCTCGTGAATTTGGGCGTAATTTGTGGCTGTCTATGTACGTGTCCATGGCACCCGCGACACCGGGTCTCCCCTAGTGCGGGGTTAGAAGTGTGTACGTTGTTAATTTTGTTCTTGTCATTTCTATAAAATACAAATAGAACAAGAAGGTACCACGTGGCAAAAATTAAATAAGTAAATAAATGTTAGTTGACACATACATACATACATACATACATATACTTCACGCCTTTTTCCCATCGGGGTAGGCAGAGACAACAGTAGTTGACACACAATGCGAATATTGTATTGCAGACGCGTGCTCTATGTACCGCATGGCTTTGACACAGCAACGGCTCGAGTTGCAGCATGTTAAGCAAGAACCCGACGCCAACGGTACGTATCTAATGCTGTTGTGTTCGTGTGGTTACTTACGTATTTAAATTAACGCTATTCCAATCTTATTTTGCCAGTGCTACACCTGCCCATTGTCGATTAACTTCAAAAGAGCGAGCCTAAGTACTCTAAGAGTCGTATCCTAGAACTCTACTCAATGCTCAAGTCAGGATTTGAGTATGGTTTAAAGCACTCGAAATCATACTCAAGTCCCTGCCATTAGAGTCGTATTTCCAGTGCTTGTGTTTCCAGTGCAATCCTGACTTGAGCATTGAGTAGAGTTCTAGAATACGACCCTAAGAGTGCAATACAATGAGCTTTCCGCATTCTTATAAAGTCGCCACGGTACTGTAGTGGATTACCTGACTTCTTTGCTGTTTAAATTTTCAATTCAATTATTTTAAACACTCAGAAAAAATTCCTTCGATCCGGTCGGATTCGAACCGACGTCTTCTAGCATACCGTGTCAGACGCTATACTAATTAAGCCACGGAACGAACCAGCGCACCTCACGAATTTTTCTATGTGTTTGTTGTCGTGTCTTTGTATTGGGTTTTTTCAACGACTTTTTAGCTGTAGCGCCATCTGTGAGAAATCTATAACAGTATTCGTCACCCAGTTAGATACCTTTACAGCTACCAGTCTTGGCTAGAGGTGTCGCTATTCATTGTATTCATTGACTTACAAATAAATGGACGACGGGTCTAATACAAAATCCAGGAAAAAAATGTCCCAAGTCAACCTATTTAAACGTAGTGTGACTTGTAAAGGAATATGAAACAGCTAAAACGTTGAATTTATTTTGTAATGTCATCGTAGTACCGTCTAATTTTGCTTGCTTCGCTGTCAGTCGAACAAACGAAGACTAAAGCGTGAATGACGCTCTGTAAACGATTTTAACGCCTTATAAGTTCGGACACTTTTTAGCGCGGACCCGACGTCCATATAATTGTAAGTCAATGATTGTATTAAATTTTTTATTGAATTGATATTCAATTATTTTTATGTGAAATTACTCTACTAGTTTGTTATAATTATTAATACAAAGCTTCAAAATTCTTTGCTGTTGCCAGGGCTTGTATTGCTTCCTTTTGGGGCAGATTACGTTGTTCTGATAACGGCATACTGAGAGCTATTTCCGCAGATGTGTCTGGTACAATTTTTAAGTACTGGCGTTCTGGCAGGAAATAGATTAGACGAAGACCTGTAATAATTTAATCTTTATTTTACTCCTATATTTTATACTAGTTTTAGTACATTATTGCAGAGGCCGGGAAGTAAGGGATTGCTGGATGAGTAAGAGTTACAATTACCAGCGCCAGCGAGGCCTTGTATTAATACGAGTCAAGCAATCCCCGTTCCCGCCGAGGCATGTATAGAATTTTTCTCAAACAATCTGAGGAAATAATTTTTTTAAAGGAAAAGGCAAAGGTTTTACTCCATACAGCCAAGTCTTGGTACATTATTAAGTCTTGAGCCATGTCTTCGTTTAATTATGTTTCTGTAAATATGGCCGCCACAAAGGGGATAGGCAATTTGAGGCGGCGTGCTTGGATTGACTCAGGATTCCTTAGAATGGGCAGATACGGGTATTTTAGTTCGAGATTCGTATAATTTCGCGTTTTAATCTTCGATTAAGGCACAATAACACTATCCTATTCCACTTTAAACTAGATTTCACAAAATAATTGAAAGTCAAAATAAAAACGACACTTCCCTCCAAAAGGCCCAGAGCGAATCGAGGAAATAATAAAAGACTAAAGAGAGTTGTATAACGGAAAAAATAAAAAAATATTAGTTAATATTAAAAGTAATATTTGACAAGTTTGTGTTGAACATGTGACTTACAGACACATTTCTATTAGTCAAACTTCGGATGATGTGTTTGAATGTGTGTCTATTACTGTATTTTCGTTATCGCTCTTCTCACTAGCAATCATTTTCGCGACCAAAATACAAAAAAGACGAAAAAACAAAATAATACCAAAACACTTTAGTTCAAATATTACCGCCATTTTCTTTTTTTATTTAAAGTAAGCGGTACGCTGTTATGAACACTGGGCAGTTGGCTGAGTTTTTCTTTTGCCTGTTTACGTAGTTCATTATTAGCAGGTAGATTTAAAAGTTTAGAGAAGAGGAGAGTAATGGATGTTCATACTTTGCAGGCCTTGGCCGGTAAGAAGTAGCATGGTCCATAAATGAAAAACTTTCCGTGTTCGTTTTTTGGAAGTAATGCAAACATTTCCGAGCATGTTCGAGAAAATTATCAATATTGCTATATTGTGTGACATTGTTTATGTAAAATGAAAATAAACATATTATTACATCGACTTACAAATAAATGGACGACGGGTCTAATACAAAAACCACGAAAAAAATGTCCCAAGTCAACCTATTCGAAATTTAAATTGTTATGTCATCGCAGTATCGCGCTGTCCGTAGAACAAATGAAGACTAAAGCGGAGTGTCGCGCTCTGTATACGATTTTAGCGCCTTACAAGTGCGGACACTTTTTAGCGCGGACCCGACGTCCATATAATTGTAAGTCAATGTATTATTATTAAAAATAATTGAATATCAATTCAATAAAAATTTAATTAATACAGTGAATAGCGACATCTCTCGCCAGAACTGGTAGCTGTAAAGGTACTAACTGGGTGATAAATCTGCAATAGATTTCTCATAAATGGCGCTACGACTAAAAAAACCGTTGAAAGACCAAGTACAAAGACACGACGCAAGCACATAGAAAAATCCGTGAGGTCCGTTGGTTCGTTCCGTGGCTTGGTTGGTATGGCGTCTGGCGCGGTGTGCGGTAGGGCGTCGGTTCGAATCCGACCGGATCGAAGGAATTTTTTCTGAGTGTTCGATCTTTGTATTAATAATTATAACAAACTAGTGGAGTAATTTCACAAAAAATAATTGAATATCAAGTCAATAAAAATTTAATTAACATATTATTATTATTATAAAATACTTTATATATATATAGTTGTTTACAAAATATCGTACAAAAGTCGGACGTCGAGGGATGTTTGTAAAGACGTCTTTATTTTTCAGGTTGTGACAACGTTATGCAGCCCGAAGGCAGTCCATATTACGGAACCAACGGACACAATAATGTTACAGGTGAGCACAGATATTAGTGACACTTAAACGTTTTGCCGCGTAATAATCCGTGCAAAAAAAATCATATCAAGCATTGACTTACAAATAAATGGACGACGGGTCTAATAATACAAAAACCACGAAAAAATGTCCCAAGTCAACCTATTTAAACGTAGTGACATGTAAAGAAATATGAAAAAGCTAAAACGTTAAATTTAAATTGTAATGTCATCGCAGTACTGTCTAATTTTGCTTGCTTCGCTGTCAGTCGAACAAACGAAGACTAAAGCGTGAATGACGCTCTGTATACGATTTTAACGCCCTATAAGTTCGGACACTTTTTAGCGCGGACCCGACGTGCATATAATTGTAAGTCAATAATATCAAGTCAAATAATATCAAGTGACGGGACGAACAACTCGTGCGCCTCATGGTACACGCCTGTCCATAACAGTTGCAGTGCCACTCTGATGTTTAAATCGCAAAGATCTGAGGCGCATTGCCACTGCGTCCGTCACCCTGAGACACAAGTTGACAAGTCCCATTTGCTTGTAATTCCTTCAAAACCGGAAAACAGTAATTCTGACATTACTGCTTGGCGTGGACGAACTCTTTCACAAGGAGATCTACTACTAGTTAATGAAATATTCTCAATTACTTTATTATCGTCATAATTATCTTAATAAATTTCAATGATAATTATCAATGATAATTAACAGCATATTTAAGTCGAATTTTGACTATTTTTGGATATTTTGAACCAGTCTATGGCCTTTAATCAGAATCTCCTGGTTAAAGACCACGGACTGGTTCGAAACATTTGACTGAAATACGAAAATTATCTATTAGTTTACTTAATATGTCTGAGCCTCACGGTACTTTTCTATTCAAAAAGATGATTATCTTAACAAATTATAATTTTGAAGTATAATCACGGCTAGATATTTTTACATAATGGTCATTGATAATTCTTTTCACAAATATCACTGACAATTACGTTGACAATTATGACTTTGAAGCGTAGTAACGACTAGATACGTTAATAACTAAACATATTAATTACGCCATATATAGGGTGTAATTAATATGTTCAACCACTTGATTTAATTACTTTGTATTAGTTGTTGAGTAATTTGTTTGCTTTTACAGGTGGCTACTACGATCAAATATCGCGACCAGGCCCAGAGCTGCTGATCGCAAAGCAAAACGCACTTTCGGCGCAGCTTTGTAAGTGGAATTATTGTGACAGTTCATGGGTAAAGTTACTTTAAGATAGCTTTAGTTACTCTACACATTTTAGGACACTGGACGTTGATTCAGATTCATTTATTTCTCAAATATAAAATTACAGTATAAATTGCACTACATGTCAAAGTATAAGAAATTATATTGAGATCGTCAGAGAAAAATGAAAATTATAACAAAAATACACAATAATTAGAAAATTCATTATACGATATTGTTGTCATTAAATTACATATCAAATATCATTCTCCATCAAGGATCGTCATAAGTTGATAACAATTATACAAGAGTATGTCAATGCGGTAAAAATTAGAATAAAAATAGAAAATACGCAATATCGTTACAATTTTAAGTCCATAAAAAGGATTTTTCAGTAAAAGGTTGACGAACACTATACATTGTGGGACTGAACGTTAAGGTACATTACGAATTTTAGGACACGGGAAAACTTACGGCATTGGCAGTTCTGGAAGTAGACGTTTAGGAATGGTAGAAATTTTTGGACACGGGTAAGTTTAGGCCATTGGACTTTGTGGGAATGGACGTTAAGGGACGCTACAAATTTTAGGAGACAGGAAAATTTGAAACACGGAACATTGTGGGACTGGACGTCAAAAACAACAAACATGTATGATCGTGATCTCGTCAATTTGTGATTGCAAAGCGAAATTCTGCTCCCGCTGCCTCTTCCGGTACGCGGTTGTCACTTTAGAACAATATCCGTCCCACTATGCCACCTAAGTTTAGCAATTCTGTACTGGTTTCTATTTCTATTATATATAATTCTATACTATTTTGGTTATTTTTCGGATCTTCTTACATTTAATTCGATCTGCAGAGAAATTCCGTGATATTTCAATTGTATATATTGTCTCGGGTCTGGGTGTTTGTGGTACCGCCGTTGTTTCCGATTTCCATAACACAAGTGCTTTAGCTACTTGCTTTGGGATCAGAGCAACGTGATGTTGTCTAATATTCGTTATTTAAAATAAAATTATAGCAGCATATGAAGTTTACAACGATCTTAAAAAATAAACATATTAGTTCTTATTATATGATACCCTGGAATAAAAAATCCAGAGGGCACTTATTCTATAAACATAATTATATCTGTATTAATAAATAACATAAATATACTAACTAGTAACTATATCACTTGCTATCATTTACTAAATTTCTGTAGCCCTGTATTTATAATATAATATTGTATGTAATAATACACATACATATATATATAGTTATCAGTGATAGAATTGAGGGCGTCACTAAACTAAAGAATAACGAGGACATTCCCTTGTACAAATCCCGGAACTTATCAGAAATTATATACGTGTTATTCATTAAAATTCGACTACATTGGCGACAAACTATTATTTTTTTAATATTAAATGACGGGATGAACAAGTCGTGCGCCTGATGGTAATCTACATGCCTGTCCATAACAGTTGCAGTGCCACTCAGAGCTTCTGAGGGGTCAGATCTTTGCGATTTAAAGCTCTGAGTGTACTGCCACAGCGCCCGTCACCTTGGCACATAATTTGACCACGTGCCTGTAATTTCACCATCTCCCTTCGAGATCGGAACGCAGTAATGCTGACATTACTGCTTGGCGGCAGAAATAGGTAAAGTGGCAGTGTTTCGCTGGACCAACTCTTTCACAATGAGCTCTACTGCTGCTAAATTAAGGACTTGCTACAAATTATTGTCTAAAATAATATTGTTATAGTTATGTTTCTATAGGTATTTAAATATTAAAATACTTTAGCCATTTCAAAAATAAACAATAGACAACATATATTTTGGACTGTTTAGAAAATCTGCCATCCGTTAACTAAAATGCGATAACTAACAACCGGACTGCCACGCAGAGGTTCCAGGTTCGATTCCCGGGCCGGGAGAAATAGTTGTATGGCCTACAATTATTTCTCTCGTGAGTTTGGGTGTAATTTGTGGTTGTCTATGTGTGTGTCCATGGCACCCGCGACACAGGGTTTCCCTAGTGCGGGGCTATGTTGAGTGTGTGTGTTATTTATTATTATTATTATTATAGCTATGCATCGTTGGGTAAGTTCCGATAAGTAGAACACGTTAACTGATTTCAACTGTTTTTAAAAGACAATTTCGTTATCTATCTTTTCCTGTTTACAACGGAGTTAATTAGTGGTCGGCAGGCAGAAATGAACAGTACAAAAAAAAGAAACTTTAAACGCATTGATGACGAAATGGGTATGTCCATACTAAGACAACGTTCATACTTTAGATAAAGTCCCTCAATTTCGATCATTGTTAACAATACATCATTGTTAATATACATTTGATGTACCAATGGTTACTAAATACCTAACTACGCTGTCTTGTATAGCGTTTAGCAGCCCTCTGGAATTATTGGTCCAAGCCTTGAGTCTTGTTATGATGTCCATAGTAAGCGGTCACGTCTCAGTGGAATTCAGTCTGATAGAATCGTAAATGCATTATTTTGTATACAGGGCAAAACACAATGAAGAGACCATTCTTCTACAGCGATAACCCTCCATACGCCACGCCGCAGTTATTGCACAGATACGAGGTATGCCAAATGTTCTTTATTGTCACTTACATAATATAGTGGTAAAGGGTACATTTATGTGTAAATATATTGGTCTCGAGTAGGTCAATGTGCGTACCAATTTTTATACAGGGTGTAACTAAAAGGTTCGACACTAATGTAGTGATGGTCGTAGCGATAACATAATATTATCATAAAATATATTTGTAAATAGAATAATTGACAATTATTGGAATATTAAATGTTTTTCATTAAAATTAAATATAGACATAAATTCGCGCGTCTTTGTTTTATTAAATAGAATGCACGTTATTATTTTTACGTCTATATAGATTCCCAACCATTCGTTTTGGAATTATATAATTTTATTATACAATGTGCAAATTAATGAATATGAAATTGATTGTTGAAATATAAAATAATTACAGACATTCAGAAATCAGGAAACTGATTTTTTAATACAAATTAATTATGAATAAATGAAAACAGTCAGCCGTGGTCAAAAGGCATGTGGAGAACCCGATATTTTAGTTTATTTCAATAAACAAATATACGCGAACGGGATCCGAAAAGATGGCTTCATTTCCAATCGCGAAAACCTGACAATTCGATATTAAATAAATGTACGTTATTTGTGACGTTCAATAAGGTCCTATAAGCTAAATATTGATGGAACATTACTCTAGCAGTAACTGTAACTATAAATATGTCTAGTATTTTTAATTTATATATAGTAAAACAGATAACGGTTTAATTTTCAGAATGTTTGTGTATTGTTATGATTTATTTATTTATTTACTTAGTCAATACAGATACACAAGTCACATTTACTTAAAATAACATTATCAGTACATCTCTTTGCGACTGCTATCCAATTACAATTGTACACAGCTTATGCAAAGAAAAAAATATAATTACACACAACTGATTAAAATAATGTGAAAAATAATGTCAAATAAGGGAATTAACGGATGACTTATGTATTAATAATATTATGAAATAATCAAATAATATGAAAAAAATACGAAAATGTGAAAAAATTAAGTCATTAAAAAAATGATTCATTAACAAAAATTAGAAATAAAACAAATTAAAAAAAAGAAATTATAAACGTTGAAGACTTCTCTTCAAATTTGTTCAAACTGTATATTTTTTAAATTCAAGAGATTAATCCAATTAATTATATTTAATCTGTGGCGAGGACTCTTTGATCTCAGTCCATACAGTGCAGATTTGGTTTACAAAGCACTTATTTTTTAGCCAGAATTTCACCGACAGGAGCTACGGTTTCACTGTGGTGCACCAAATTATTGATACAAATCATCACAGACCATTTGCTAAGATATTCGTGAGGACCGCGAAAATCAGTACAATCGAAATGTCCTCGTACCTTTTTGTTGCACTCTGTAATATACACATAGTTAAATGGATAAGTCCATGGGTAAATGTGCCATTTGTGCGTTTAATCATGACGTTACCCAATTTTTCGATTGTTTTCAATGGGTATCCTTCAATACATAAAGTTAAGTGGTATATAACTATATAATATACTTTGTATATTATATTGTGTATCGACATTTATCATGTACATTGATATTTTCGATACACCATTTTCATTAGGTATACGGAACTTGTTACGGAATTAGCCACGAAGAGTCAATGTTTTTACATGTACACTCAGAAAATAAATTTATTGTTCTTGCAACAAAACCCTATTGATACGAAATTGAATTTGAAGAAAAATTGAAAACTGAGGGCATTTAACTTTCTTTTTATTGTCAAAATGCTTTTTGTTCCTCTAGCAATGGAAATATAAATGATATAATACCATTTGCCCAACTATGCGCGTGTAGTAGTTCCGTATAATCCGCTAGATGGCGGTAACTGAAATTTGAATCGCTAATTTTGAAATGCAAATTTTTGCACTTTTATATTTTTTTCGCAACAATTAGTTACAGTGATAAGAGCGAAAATACAATAACGGACTGTACTCCGCCTAATTTAAAACAAGAAGCAGATTTTTTTTATCATACATTCTCCTTCATGCTTTAGGCTGTTAACCGATTGACTGCATGTAGTTGATCTCGGCTGCATGAAGTCAATTTCGACTGCATGCGTGCACTTAATGTGTAAATAAAACATGCAGTCACTCTGTTGGCAGGTAGTCATTTATTATTTCCTCGCATTGTTTGAGAAAAGCACTAAATATACCTCGGCGGGAACGGAGATTACCTCGTATAATAAATAGCCCATGCTCGTCAGGCAGTCCTTTACTTCCCGGTCAATGAAATAGTGTAACTATATACTATGGTTAAAATTTGCTTCCATTCCCGTGGCAATGTAAATCGAGCCTTATTGGTATGGAAATAGTATTGTTGGAATAACAAACAAAGACTTGACAATAAAAAGTTTGTGTTATAAGACCTAAATACCTGTGAATCAGAGATTAAAATTTGATTGCTGATGCAAAATATTTTTCTGAGTGTGTCGGGTTCTGGTAAGAAAGACTAATTTCCATCTCATTGGAATTGTACTCGAGTTTATATGTCTGTCTGTATACTTGTTTATATTGTAAATACATTTGTACAGGTTTGTCAGAATTTGTATGTTGTTGTGAATTCTGTCGCTTGAATTTTGATTGGTTTCTCTTTTTAACCGACTTCAAAAAAGGAGGAGGTTCTCAATTCGACTGTTTTTTTTTTTGTATTTGTGTTACGCGATAACTCCGGTATTTGTGAACCGATTTTCATGATTCTTTTTTTTGTTGGAATGGTATTTCCATAGTGGTCCCATTTCGTTTTGAAGAAAATTATCCACCTCAAAGGGTGACTGTTCACGCATGAAGATTCATTTTTATAAATAGCGCCTAACTTTAATATAGGAGCAATTATTTTAATGGTTGATTTTGCTATTTCTCCAATTCAAGGCGTTTTTCTCTCTACACACTTTGAGTAGTGAGAACCGATTTTTATTATCTCCTGTGTCAAGTCCTGTATAGTGGCGAACTAGGGGATATTTCAATGAAACTTAGCAAATAGACGTAATTCCACGTACTTTTGAGGTCGGTTTTTTTAGTACTCTGTACTGAGATTATTCTATAGAAAGGATGTGTTAGGAGTCTATACTACCTCATCTCGAATTCAAAATTTTCCCGTACTAATATGATTCACTTTGCTTGAGTTGAGCGGCTGGGACGCTGACTTTATTGAAGATTTTTTTTTTATAAACGTAAATAAAGCCAATTGAATAATGTATATCGTATACTATACGTGGTCTGTTTAGTTCAGTTGGTACAAAAAAAATCATTAGTATAAATAAAGTACCTATTGACTACAGCGGTTTTCTTGTAAAATTTCATGGTAACATTGTGTTTTTTTTTCTATAGTGAAAATTTTTATCCTCAATTTTACTATATATTTTTTTCAAAGTGATTTATTCAACACTTTCACTGTTATGCAGAATCAACCAAACCCATTTGAGGTAGTATCAACTCTTGAGAATAGTGCAGGAAAAGAGAAGCTTATTAAAGACAATAAAGGACCGAAGGGGAAAGGTGTTTTGGGCATCTGATACGTCACGACAGTTGTAGAAGGAAAGATCGAAGGGTAAAAAGGCAGAGGATGATGGAAAAAGGCAAAGGATGACGGAGACGAAGTTATTTAGATCACATATAGGATAACTTAAAAAAAAACAACACCATAAAAGTTTGTGGAATTACATCTATTTGCCAAATTTGTGAAAAAGTGGGTGCACTCCATTGACTTACAAATAAATGGACGACGGGTCTAATACAAAAACCACGAAAAAAATGTCCCAAGTCAATCTATTTAAACGTAGTGACATGTAAAGGAATATGAAAAAGGTAAAACGTTACATTTAAATTGTAATGTCATCGCAGTACTGTATAATTTTGCTTGCTTCGCTGTCAGTCGAACAAACGAAGACTAAAGCGTGAATGACGCTCTGAAAACGATTTTAACGCCCTATAAGTTCGGACACTTTTTAGCGCGGACCCGACGTCCATGTAATTGTAAGTCAATGGTGCACTCCAATAAACCGGATTGAGTGAAACAAACTACTGCAGTGTTCTCTTTTCAACAAAAAAGAATCATCGAAATTGGTTCACAAAAGTCGAAGTAATCGCGTAGCATAAAAAAAACAGGCGAATTGAGAACCTCCTATTTTTATGACGTCGGTTAAAAAAAGTTGATGACGTGTCTTATAAGGAAATCAAAGTTACGTTCTGAACAGAGATGGTTAAGGATTACTTCTCTTTTAAATAAGAAGTTTTCTCAAGGATATGAAGCTTTTGTTTTTGTGTGTCTATTACCCGCCATATTGATTTTTTGTGACGTCTCTTGGATACTGTAATGAGTACTTAATTTTTGCGTTGCGGATCTATATCGCGTATATAAAGGGTTATTTTTAAAATACTAACAACCTCACATGACTATATTCCTAACGTCATGAACAACAACTTTTGTTCCATGATTTCTTACAAAATAATAGTAATTTTACCAAAAATAAATAAAGTTTTTGTTGTGTCAACGAGTATATAACCCAGAAATAGAGACGAAATAAGGGCCATTCGCCTTGTATTACTTTTAAATATCAACTCTCGTTTGCGCTGAACTCACAAATTAGAAAGCTGAAATAGTACAGCGTCAACAGCTGACCTGTATGTACTTCTCCGCATATTCTAAACATATTCTGTATTTATTGTAATAAAGTTAATATCGTTAACAATGGGGGGCTGTTCCATTCGGTTCTGTGGGGAAAACAGCAAAACATCTAATTACAAAACAAACGGAATCACATTTCATCGGTAATTAAATGTTAAATATGTAAATTTTAAATTTTCGTCCATTATAGCAAAGCTCAAGATAAACTGGTCGTTTGGAAACAATTGACGACACCCGTCAATTGTTTCTAATTCGGGCTTTCCAATCGGAGCGCAGTTGTCACCGTGATGATTTGGCAGAATAATTTTCAAATAAATGACATTTCGTCTCTATTTCTGG